ATTACACTGTATATCACTAGTTTTCTACTGTACACGTGTGTTATTACACTGTATATCACTAGTTTTCTACTGTACACGTGTGTTATTACACATCTAATGATGTTATGTAAACAGAAGTAAAGGAAATGTGTTGATTTCGTGCTTACATTCAGTACACGTAAAACGGTTTACACCATGATAAATTAAAACTGTTGAAACATTAACCAACGTGGTGAGTAAGTTCATAACATTACTGAATTACAGTGGATCTTCTTTATATAGCTGAGTGGCTGCTTTTCTAAATTACAAATGTATTTGTCCAAATCAATGGGATTCGACTGGTCGTTAAGTCAATAAATGCTTAGAATACATGTCAAGAACAAAGAAACTTTATTCTGTTAGTTTCTTAGTGTTTATTATATTAGCTAATTTATAATAATTTATAACCGTAGACATACCGCTGCGCTACTGGGGGGGGGGCATAAAATTACTGCAATATTTAGACCCCGCTGGCAGTGAACTGTGTTAAAAGCAGACTGTAATTTGAGGGTTAAAATGTAATGATGGGGTCCAGTTGGTCCCACTGACGCTCTTGACCACTTAAATATATATATATTATTTAAAATGACTTTCATTATTATAGAATTAACTCAAGATATTTATTAGATGCGACACCAGGAAAAAGTCTGTGGACTTACAACGCAAGAAACCGGGTTTCAGTACGCGTGGTGGGCAGAGCACAGACAGCCCATTGTGTAGCTTTGTGCTTAACCTCAAACAAACAAACAGGCAAACTGTATTCCTTTATTTGGAGGGAAAATATTTACTTTCCGTTGTCCAACTAAGTATACGTTGTCCCACGTATACAGTTCCTGTATGGTTTAATAAGAAAGCCCCCACCACGATGTAATTTCATCTTTACAAATTAGACCAGCGGCCTCCAGGACCCCTCAGAATTGACATTTGAAATTTTGAATACTGGAATAGATGAAAAATATTTTGAAACACAGATAAAGATTTAATGGGGGAGATTTTGAAACTTAGTTACACTAGCGAGTTTGGGGTAAGATCTGCCCATCCACAGCATATATGATGCTGATACTAGCGAACCCGTGGTCCTATGACCCACATTTACATGACTGCTATAATTCAAATTTAATGATTGAACTACTATTTTGCGCTTTTTTTAGTTTAATGATCAATGTCGCAATAATGTAAACTTAGTTTCTTTAACCAAGTTACTTAGTAGGCCTACTTATTTACGTGTTCTAATGTAAATCAATGCCAAATTTGGGGTCCGCTTTCTGGAAATCCACGTAAAAGTGTTTTTGAGAAATACCCGGGTTTCCCCAGGAGCTGGGTGAAACGTTTTACCTTTGTGCAAACCTGGAAACAGAGACGATTCATTGGGTCCAATTAGAAGTTGGTGAGTCCAGGAGTTTAGGAGAAATCCCCGGGTTTCTCAAGGGGGTGTGGTGAAAATTTTTACATTTCTGAAAACCTCAGGACTGAGATGATTCTTTTAGTACCACTTAGAAGTCGACGTGGCCAGCGGTTTAGGAGTTATGTGACACACAAAGATACTGAATCTTATTATATAGATACGACAACGCAACAAGTGAGGGAAATTCGAACAAGTGTTCGTGATGACCCACAAACTGGAAGGTAAAGAAGTAAGTGAATGTAGTTTTGAAGATATAACATTCTTGTATTTCTTGCATTATAATAGCAGTAGGACTGTAACAATGCTGGAACTATACTAATGACAATGTAGTTGTATTAGAAGAACAGAGAAATGATCTCTTTCCGTTAAGAGTATTGTTAGAATGTTTATTATTTATAACTTTCCGTCATTCTATTTTTATTACATAGATGATTTTGCATTGTTACCTTAGCATGTGGATTTCAGTCTAAGCTAAATCTCCTAAGCTGTCCGAACCTAGAGAGATGCTATTGGGTTTACGACCGAAAATATCGTTAACAGCAAGAGTATCCAACTGACGAAACAATAATTTATAATCTTTGTAAGCAAGAAGATAAAAACAGTATACGGAATTAGTTATACCCATTACCAGGTGGATTTTTAGTTTTTATCTAAATGGGTATTAACCCTTCCTTGGGGATTGTGTAAGTCTGCCTACCACCCCCGGGCCATTCAAAATGTTGCGCGCAAAAATGTTTGCATCATACGTGTCAGATTTTAAAAAATATATATATCAGTTCTTCTTTTTGTCGAAATAAATGGCTTTTATTTATATTTCTTAATGGTATAAATATCTACTATGTTGTTGTTGGGTTTAGGCTTCTTCTCCAGTAGGTGTCTGTGACTTGTTAGCGATAAATTCAACGATAA